AAAAAAAAAAAAAAAAAAAACTTTTCTTAGTTTTTATTTTAGTTATAAAATTCTTATAATCTTATGAATAATCTTATATAACCTATGGAGTTACATTCATCAAATATTTATATTTCTTTCATATTATTATAATTAATAATGGTATATTCTTGTAAATAAAATAAGCATTATATTTGATACATCAATACAAAATTCATTTGATTATGCATGAATCTCAACACATGTTAGAAAAAAAATTTAGGTCAAAATAACTATCATTTGAGTTTTGATTATGACAAATTTATGGTCAAGCCGAACATACCCATAACATAAGCCTAGGGGACGTTAACAATAATTCAATCAAAGTCAAAATGAGCCCAAATCAAGAACTTGAATTATAATGAGAAGCTTGCAAGCATTAATTGAATGGACAAATTATATCACATCTCAACGAAAAGAATTCACTAAGTCTATGATCACTTAATTTTGAGGTCAATAAGACACTTACATATTTAAAAAAAAAATCTTTGATTAGAAGAGTCAACGCAGACCATCCCGATAAAATATTTTACAATTTTGGCTAAATATGAATATTTTCTTAAAGCAAAGGAGGGGGAGGAAGAAACCAATACTAAATATACACTCTTAGAGAAAACTTAAAGCTAAGGACCATGAACGATCATTACTGACCTCCACTAATGACTTTTATAGCTCAATTATTGTTCTACTGTTCTTATAGCTCGATTATTATATCTAAGCTATTGTTGTATGATCTCTATAACTCATTCAAAACTCTATAGCATCATCTTCACCACGTAGAAAAATGGCAAAACTATACTACTTAAATATATATTGGATTATCTTTATTAGGCCGGACCCCATCGTGTCTTTTTCAAGATTTTTCTTCAGTTAACATTTTATTTTATTCATGTGTGTACTGAATTTTCGTGCAATACTAAAATATTAATTTGCCACTCTGCTATATAAATTTAACTTATTAGTGGCAAAACTTTAGAATCTTTTACGGGAAGTGATTTTAGCCTTGGGTATAAACCTCATTGCAACATGCAAAGCATAATGAGACATGAGACACGAAGAAGAAAGCCTAACTACTGTACTACAAAGACTTCTTCAAATTTTATTTGCAATTAAATAATGTCAGGCCCATTAATTAGACCCGCTCACTGGAAACTAATATTCGATAAATGCCCAAAAAGAATAACAACATGTGGACTTTTCGGCCAACCCTATTTATGCTGACCAAGACCCGCATCTTGTCTTGTTCATAAGTTTCATTAAGCCATTAGTTGTCGGTAGAAATCAAATAATTATAAAAGTAATATATTTTTAAATCTATTTTTCAACATCTCATACGAATGTAAGAATTCATAAAAATTGAATTCATATATTTTACTTTGAGCATTTACATGCATGCCCCCCAATCCTGATGTATTTACATATCAAACACCTAAACTTTGCTTTTGAACATTTATATCATGCATGCGCCCCAAATCCTGATGTATTTACATCTCGAAAGCCTAAACTTTGCTTTTGTACATTTATATCACCCAAATTTTTCATGTCACATTTAAGTTCACCTATTTGTAACTTCTAAAAAGTGAAATGCACATTTTCAATGCATAGATAGTGGTATATATGTAAAAACTAAATTTTAGATGAATGATATGTGTAAATACATAAGAATTCATAGATGTGTGAGTAAATCTCTTTTGGTTGAAGTTTGAATATTTTTATTATGGCACATGCATACATATAAAATTGGCAGTTAAAAGTGTCTTATATATATATATATATAGTGAAAGAAGGCGGCAAGACTAAGCTGCTAAAGCCCCCAAATGCTATTTTCCAACGATCAAATCATTGAGAATGTAAAAAAAATGAAAGAAGGTGCTAGTTTGGTAAATTACAAAATCTTGAGTGTTATCAATGTAATTGCCCCTTTTTTATTCTAAGAAATTGGAATAAAAGTAAGTGGTCATTTGGTTTATATTTTGTATTTTGAGTGTAATGTAAATGAATAATTAGGAATTTTAAATATTTAATAGTTTGATTGGTAAAAATAAATTCAAAATTCATCGTATCTTCTCTATTTTCTGATGTGATGTGAAATATTCGAGTGGCACCAATGTAAAACACCAAAGTTGAGGTATTGATATGTAAATATATAAGAAATATGTGGTATGTATGAAAATGCACCACCCCCCACCCCCCCTTCTCTCCTTCATCTCCTTCAAACCAAACCAAGCCTAAAATCTCCTGCCGCTTCATCCGGCATCAGATAAGACATCCCCAACCACCATGAAAGCGATCTCTCTCAACTTCTCAGGCATCATAAAGCTCTGAAATCCTCACCCTCCTTCTCGCTGAAACAAACCCCCCATCGCCATGGAAGAAGAATTCAGCTTCCCAGCCTTTGCAGCAGATCAGCAGAAACTCTCCACTTACCCTTCCTCCCCCTTCCCCTCCCCTCTCTTCTGCCTCCTCCCCACTCCTCCCAACCCTAAATCCCAAGTCCTCCAAGACTACCAGCGAAGCAGAAGCTTCTCATGCCTGGAAGATCTGAAGCTCAGAGACGAACGGAACTCCAATGATGAGGAGAAGATGGATATGCTGTGGGAAGACTTCAATGAGGAGCTCAGCCAGATTTCCAGCCATGGAAAAGCTGGAGTGGATTCCTCTAAATTGGAGGGGAAGAAGAGCCGTGGTGTAAGAGAACTCTCTTGTGTGAAATCTGTTAATCATCAGAGGTCCGGACTCGTGATGATTTTCAATGTGTTTAAGAAGCTGATGTTTGTGCAGAAGAACAGGAAGAAGAGAACTTCTTCATCTCTTTATCACATGTAGTACAGACTCATAGATTATCTCAAATTGCTGTGTAAATGGATTTACAAAATATATATATATATATATATATATAATTTTGTTTGGAAACTGAAAGATTCTGTATCAAGTTGCTTAGCTAGGCTGCAAATGAAGTCCAGTTGGAAGCCATGAAAAGAGACAAAAAGAAGATGCATGATGTATGCCTTCCAACTACCAGTAATGGTTGGTTAAGCATTGGTTAAGCTAATCATGATTAAATGCACAAAGGTTAAATCTCACAGTTAAGAGTTTGACTGTTAATAGCTTTAAGGGGCTGTTTGGTTGCCTATTTTAGAAGCATAATGCAAATGAAATGCATGATTTTTTTTAAATTTCAGCATTTGGTTGAATTAAACTTAATGTAGTGTGAAATTTTGATGTATTCAAGATTTACATTTTAGGTTAGTTGGTGAATTTGCAAATCTGTAGTTTGCTGTAAGTAGATTTAACTCCTATAATGTCAAAGAACTTTTAAGATTTACTTGGTCAAAATTTATTAAATTAATATTCCCAATTAGATGCATTTGGGGGCAACAGTGGGGGCAACAGTAAGCTGTTGCGCCGCACTTTTTAGCATTTAGCAAAACTGTGTTTAGTCTGTTTTTTTCAATAAGCAAAGGTCGGAAACTGTGTTTTGCAATCTGATATGGCTAAGTGGGGTGGCTGCTAGAAAACTGCGATCTGACTTTTTGAAAATTCAAAAAAAAAATTATAATAACCACTGTAGCTTTTTTAACAGTAGTTTCTTCTACGGCCACCCAATGCATATGTATTTACATATACACCTCCCAATCTTTCATATCACCTCAAACTCTACCAATATGTTAGACTTTTAAAAAGTGAAATACAACTTTTCATTTATAGAAAAAGTGGGATATATGTAAAACGTGAAGTATAGATGTTAAATATGTAAAAACATAGGAATTGAGTGGTATGTATGTGAATCTTTCAAAATAGTATGCATGTTTATGGATTTATAGTTTAAGATTGAATTCGTTCAATTTATATATATAGAATATAACATTTACATTTTACACAGCTGTCTTAAAAGTAAAATGAAAGCATTATTGATTTGGTTTTTCAGAAGGCCGGCAACCAACAACCAGACGGAAATACAAGGGAAATAATTCCAATTTCGGATAAACAATTAATTATATTATTGAGAAGCATATTCTTCAATATCATATGACACCTAATCAAATATTATCCTTAATATGTAACAAATAAAAATAAAAAAAATTCAATTGATCGAACACAAATATCGAAGCATTTTGAATTAAATAACTTCTATATTTAACATCGATTATTAGTTCTTGATTTTAAGATGAAGAGTTGTAAAATAAAGAATACAATAAAACAATATAATAGAATTAAATGGAGGCACCTGAAAGAGATAAAAAAATTTATTTTATGAGTAAATTTTAAGATTTTAACATTTGGAATATTCATAAAGAAACTAATTCTTAGTGAGATAAAGTAACAAACACTATTAAACAAGTAATAAAAGATGTACTTAGAGAATCAAAAGGAAAAATTTTTATAAATAAAAATAGTTTGTGGTTGAATAATAATGTGTAATAAAAGATAAAATATAAGAAGTTGTGTTATCAAAATTTATTTAAATGTAAAAGCATAGAGAACTGAGAAAAATATGAGACGGTCTGTAGGGAGTCTGAGAGAACCATTTGTGATGCTAAGAAAATTTTACTTATCGCGATTTTTATAATAGCAATAAGTAAAGCGTATTAAGTGTTGCAGAGATGAGAATGCTTGGGTGGATGACTGGCTTAACCCTTAGTGACAAAATGCGAAACGAATTTATCCATGAAAGGATTGGTGTAGCTCTAGTTGCAAACAAGATTAGAGAGGGTCATCTGGTTTGATCAAATCAAACATCGACCATATGATGATCCAGTTAAGAGAGTAAATGTTTTAGCTTCAACTTATGTTAAGAAAAGCAAAGGTAGACTTGGGCATATTGTATAAAAAATGATCTTAATCTATTAGAATTAAATGAAAATATGACACTCATTAGGACACAATGGAGAAAAAAGGGATCATGTAGCCGACCCCACTCAGTGGGATAAAGGTCTGTTATTGTTGAGTTGTCGTTGAACTTTATATTCAAATTCAATATTATGAAGTTCTCATTTTAGCAAATTTATAGCCAAGTTGAATAGCTAAAAAGATGAACCCAATAATAACAAATCTGATCCACTTCGAGCACAAATTGACCCAAATGAAATACTTTAAGTATAGTTGAGGCATATTTCAACAATCAAACAAAGTCCAAAGCTTGCATATTTATAGTCAAATTGAGTGTCTTAACAAGACAAATCAAACAAACATAAGATCACTCAATTTTGAAACTATTAAAGCATTTAAATACACAAAACTTCTTTATAGTTAAAAGAATTATCATAAATTGTTCGATAGGAGTGTTGAGAATTTGATCCAATTTATTAAAATGTGACTCTAAAAAACAATAAGTAAACCCTGATCCTACACATAAGGGATGAGCCTCTAATTTGAAGAGACCTTGAAGATTTGAAGAACACTAAAGTTTTGCCCAATGATCAATGCTGAAAATCATCAGCAAGTCATCAGCCAACTATCTTCGCCCGACCATTGTCATCCACATCACCTGACTGTCATCGCTCAATAATTGTTATTTGACTGTTGTCGTTTGACCATCATTATCAATCGCCATCATCCCACCATTGTTGCTAGAACACCACCGTTCGACTGCCAACTTCGGGTCTGTTTGGGGCAGCTGCAGTTTATCCAGCTTCTGCTGATAAGCAGCTTATCCTGATAATCTGCTGATGAGCAGCTGATCCGGATAAACTGTCTGACTGTTTGGTTGGCGCTTATGGAAAACAGCTGGTTGTGAAAAATTGACCATTTTGTCCCTGTTCTGAATAAGCAGTTTAGCTGTTTGGTTAGTGCGTTTTGTAAACAACTTATTTGAAATTTTTTTTCATTATATAATCTGTGCAGCAGAATCTGTTCTTTTCTAAACAAAATTAAAGATAACTGTTCAGACAAGAAAATATCAAAAAGTTGATTTATATTCATATAACTAAAATATATCCGATCACATCAAACGAATATGTTACACATACAAAAGTCAAACGCATATGTACATACTAAACAAGTGGAACAAAATAAATTTTCACATTTCTATAAAATGACTGCATCAAGACAGCTATTATGAGCATAAGCTTCATAATTTCACCAACCCAATAAATAGAGATTTCAGTTTTCCACATAATGAGCATATTCTCTCAGATTTCCATAAAACAAGATTGAGAAGAACCTCAACACACACTTGCAGGCATGCCATCCAATTCTTTGTGCATTTACATATCTAGTACTTATTTTTACATCTATAAGGCCCGGTTTTTTTATGGCATGTCCAAAAAAGTGAGCAATATAGTTTTTCATGCTTGGGTAGAGTGGCATATATGTAAACATCGAGGCTTAAGTGTTAGATATGTATGTTCATAGGAATTGTGTGGTATATGTTTGTAAGTATTTCACTCCTTCTCTACCTTTTGAAGACAAAGCAGATAGTTGAAAAGAAATACAAGGCACAGCATGTACAGGAGCATTCTCACACATGTACACATTTGGAAAGGCACAGCATATACAGGAGCATTCTCACACATCAAGCACATATCCATTTGATGCCTTATATAAGCACAAATTCAATAATTAGATTGTTAGTTCTGAAAACTTCATTTGAATACTACGCAATGGGAAGACCACTTCATAATCTTTGTTTGAAACGTGAATCGTATAACTCCAATAGATCAACTGTCTGTTCTGAGTGTATAGCTTATCCATTTTGCAAAAACTAACTGTCAATCTCAACATATAATAGTATCAAATATAAAATATAAGAATTTATGTGGTATGTGTGTAAACTGCTTAAAAGACTAACACAACTTCAAGCCAACCAAAGGCAACAGTGCCTAAAGAATACATTATTCATGATGCCAAGAAAATCATCTATATGTAAGGCATATAATAGATTCTCCTTATCATACAGATAAGCATGCAATACAAGTATAGGGAATATATCAAAACTAGCAAGACTTCCAAATTCCAAGTAGCAACTTTCAAATCTTCACAAAAGAAAGGGTATCACACTTCTCATATTTTCGCAGTGATAACATGTATTTTATGCCTTTGCTGATATCATGACCGACTGATATCATCTGCTATTTGTTCTCGTAAAGTCGCCATCTCTGATGCACCTTCACCCTCTCGAATGCATGCATCTTCTGAACCAAACTCTTCATGTATTGAACGTCCCACATGATATTTAAATGCTTCAGGTGGGATTTGAATTGAATCTTCTAAAATGGCAAACTCCGTATCCGATCTGGAAGGGTGGCGTCGGATGAAATTGTGTAGCGCCATTGTGGCAACAACTATTTGTACTTGCTTTGGAAAAGGGTATGA